GAAGACGTGCCACCTGAAGAAGCCACCGTCGAAGAAGAACCTCTACTCAATTTTGGAGAAGGGAAACGGTGAAAGCTCTTGGTGATGTTACTAACACTGATGTGACTTTTACCGATGATAGGACATTTCCTGATGAAGTAGATGAACCCCAGGTGAAGCAGAAGCCAACGAGACGGAGACCAGTACGGAAGAAGACTCGTCCCGTAAAATTAAGAGACTTTGTTGAATTGTAATTTTGTCTTTGTAATTCTGTACAGTTAATTAAGTTATTGTTAATTGTTATTGGTTTATTGTATGTGGTTATTGTTCGGGACGAACAATATTAAGGAGGGGGCAGTGTTGCGTCAGCGAGTCACGTGACTACCGTGACGCAACGTTTCTAGAACTATCATGTACTTTGGCGAATGCTCTAGTTCTTACTGGATAGAGGATAGGCTGGTATATAAAAGAGGAGAATGTAATGTGTGAGATAGACAGTGAGTAATTGAACTGCGGTCACGGGGTATTGTTGAAGTTAACGTTCGTTCGTTATAGTATTTGTTTTAGCGCGAGTATTGAGATTAAGTGTATCGCAGAGTTATATTCGGAAATAATAAACCAGTTTTATTAAGAAAGAACTTGTGTCGCTTAAGTTTCGTTGGAACGAAGTTACGGAAAGTTAATTAACAAACGGAGACGTAACAACTGCATTATTGATCATAAATAAATCTCCTAATTACACTTTTGCTGTTAACATTTTAGTTTTATGGTTTTATTGCTGCCCTTTGAAGTAGTAATTGCTGCTTGAAAAACAAGAGTCCATTAGCTATTTCCTGTAGATCTAAAGTCAATACCACACAATTGTAGATGTCCTGCTCTATAGAGTCAAGCTAGACTAATGATAAGATGATTTATTTTATTGACATTTTGTTGGGCCGAACTTAGAAGTTTATAATCCACACCACACAATTGTAGATGTCCTGCTGTATAGAGTCAAGCTAGACTAATGATAAGATGATTTATTTTATTGACATTTTGTTAGGCCGAACTTAGAAGTTTATAATCTTTGCATTTTTGTTACTTTTGTAAAAAAATATATAACAATAAATAAATATACATTAAAAATGAGGATTTGTAGCACTCACTGATGCTTGAGGCAATTTATATTCAAATAGATATTTTTATGTAACCTGCATTGAGTCTCACAAATTTAGGTCTCCAAAGGAATTCATTTAGTTTTCAGATATGAATTTTATAACACAAACAATACATCAGTCACAATAATAGATTGTCCCAAAACAGCTATAATCTATCCAGCTTTCTAAGTAAATTATAAATAAAATAAGTTAAACGAAATTTTGTTAGCTGTTTGAAGTATCCATATATAATGATCACACAGTTAAAGGCTTCTTTCAAGTAAATAACATAAATACCAAACTAAACAACTGATAACTAACTTTCTGTAGAAGAGATTTTGCTATTTTGTTTATCATCTGTGTAAAACTGATAAGCACTCGATGTCCAAAGTCAGAATGCGAGAGAGGAGAGGCTTCTTTGGCGTGTTTGACAAACTTATTGATATCTCAATAAATAAAGAAGGTAGGAAGTTCACATTTTAGATTATTACCTGTAATATACATATGTTTTTCTAATTGGTTGAATACTTCAGCAGCCTATATTTGATATAATAAAATATGAAAGGAGAGAAACTGTAAGACATTAAAATGAAGATTGATATATATATATATATACATATATTTTAGTTATACGCTTTGTTTTAATTTCAAGTTTATTGGCATATATTGATAAAAAAGTGAGCGTAACTAGAAGGTCATGATGTTCACTTTAACCTGGCCTTAGCAAAAAATAAAAAGTTAAAGGAAGGTTTTTGAGTTAGATTCCCATAAAGTAATTGTAAGTCATTGAATGTTCCATAATAGTGTGTTTCAAGAAGTTTATTAAAAATTGTGAATAAGAATGAATCTTCATCAAAGTCATTCCAAACAGTGAAGTTTGAGTAAGAAACTTTTAATAACCTGAAGGACACCATAATAATGGTTGAAAATAATAGTTATTTCAAATCAATGTTTAAGGCTTGTGGTGGAGAACGTCCTTACCTCAATTCTCGAATATTAGAGGAGGATCACTTGCGACTTCGAGAGAAATCCTTGGAGATATTCCATACCACAAGAAAGATGGGTGGAAATGAATTCTCCCAACAGTATGAGGAAATGTTGGAAAAGGTAAAATATCATCTGCATTTGATTATAATGAGTTTATATTAGATTAAATTAATTCTGTAAATTTCTTTAGTGTTGGTTCTTGTCTGGTAAACTAAATAGTTATTCTATAAATATTATTACTGTATTAAGGAATTCAATGACACATGATAGTCTCTAAAATGGTTCATGCAAATGGTTTAGCAAATAATTCTTACCATTATTGTGTGTTCATTTTTAGAAATATGAACCTTCTAGTGTTTTTGGTAACATTTGTATAGTAATTTCTATTCTTCTTTTAGGAAATTCAAGAAGCTTTTGAGAACTTCCATAAGCATAATGAAAGTAAAAATATCTTTGCTGCAGCACGCACACCAGCCACTCTGTTTGCATTGGTGTTAATGATGTACTTTTTTTCTGTGATATTTGGTATCCTGGGAGTGTACTCTATGGCAAATTTTTCCAATCTGTTGATGGGTATCACATTGGTTACACTCTGCACTTGGGGTTATGCTAGGTGAGTATTTTTTTATAATCTAGGTCAGTTATATTGTAACAAGTTGAAATAAAATTTCTTCGTAGACCACTTGCATAGTGAAATTTTTTACTGTTAATCCTTTTCAGCCTAATTTTCAAAAATTCTCTCTTGATACAAATCATCTATAAAATTGTAACTAAAAACAGAAAACTTCATAGTAGCTAAATAACATTTAGCAAGTGACCATAACCATAAAATTGATTAACATTTATTTTGGATAAAGTAATGAAAAATCCAAATGTTAATTCAGTTTTTAATTTTTTTGCCACCATTTATAAGTTTTATTTAAGGACAAGAAATATTTAAACTTCCTGCATGCAAAGACAAAACTTGTGTACCTATGAAACATGGTTATGATCATTGCATGTATGTATTACTTGTTTTGAGCTGTTAGTTTGAAAATGACGAATGTTTGAAATTGCCAATATGAAACTGAAATTCAACTCCCTGAATTTGTTATTTTTTTAGTTTCCAAATTTCTAAAGATAACATATAAATATATTGGAGTTCAAATAAAAAACAGGAAAGTTATGTTTATTTTTGGGCCATGCGACATGTTATAGTATGTTTTAAATTATTGATAGCATAGTTACATTAAAGGTTAATTACCAAAATAAGTACAACAGTAACCTTTGTGTTGATTTCATAAGCACATTTTAAAAGGAAAATAAGGTGAAGCTTCTGTGCTGTATGTAGTGTCACTACAACCCAAGTTCCATCTTTAGTTTCTTATAAATTTAATATTTTCAGACTAAAGGAAACCATAGTTTATAAAGTTTGGAGTAATGAAAGAAGAAAACCATTACCATCATTTTTATACCCAAGTTTTTTCAGCATAAGTCTCAATGTCAAATTTAAAAAAAAAAGGAAACCCAAAATCAAATTTGTAGAAATAAGGATTTGAGTTTTGTAATAGCTCTGTGGTTCATGGTAAGCTGACATATTTTCAGTCTTCATGTAAAGTTTTAACGTGAATAAAAGCTGTAAAAATAAGGAGTGGAGTTCTGATACGATATCTTACCTCCTCTCACAAAAAGTTTTCCCAATTTATACTGTCAGCACAAATTTTCACTCTCCTCTAGGCTTGATAATCCCACTTACCCTCAGATATGTTAACATGATATATTTGCATACTAACATTCAAATGATTATGTAGCAACCCTCCACCAATAGGAGTGTGACACTACTCTATCGTAACTAGTGTCCTCTCTAATCTTGCAGCTGTTAACCATTTCTTGATTGGCAGTCTTATTCAATAGATGTGTTTTCACTTACAGTTTGATTAATTTATACACAAATTTTTACTTTCTTACTTTTTATTTTTCAGTTACATTGTTATTTACCATTTTTGTTTGTTTTTTATGGAGAGTTACAATTTTTATTTTATTTTATCTTCTATACTCTTTCAATTTCTAGAGTTATTCACTCACAGTTTCAGGTGGTCATGACCACAACTGCTGTTACTGCTGCAATGGAATTATGGACCATGTTCAAAGGGTTGTAACCACAATTCCCTGCCCATGAAGTGATGGCTCTAGTCCATTAGGAGTTGACAATTTTCATACAACAATCAGAACAAACTGATGATTGTCCTCTCATACCTGCTCAGTGATTGGGAAGAAGTGGATTTGGACAGCCTTTTTCCCCTCCTGAATATGTCTTTCAGTCATGTCGTTTTGTGGAATTGATTATTCAGGTATGTTATATTCTTTCCTTATCTCCCATTTTCCTGTGGTTCCACCCCTGCCTTTTTCGGAGATGTGCCTTTGGATCATTATTTAGTGTTTCTTCATTCCCTGTATATTGGAATTCATGCGAGTCATTTTGGGGGACCATTTGCATTTGGCGATCAGTATGCATCAACCCCCACCTACTATGGATGTTCATGATTTTGCTTATCATCATTCCAACTTCCTTTATTTGGACTCACAGCATTTGGTGTTCCTTCTTCCTTTGTAGGAAATGTACCCCGATACTTCAATTACCTTCTCTTGTATTCGTTTTACTCTGACCACCCTTCTCAGATCAGGGCCGGTGGGGCCAGACTCCTTCAATTTGCTTATGTTTGGAGGTCCTTGGTGGTTGATCCATGAGTTTTCTAAAAATCATTTAAGTAAATCTGGTTCTCTACTTCCATTCATCTCTCCTGTTGTTTTACTCTAGGTTTATGGATGAAGAAGGTCGAGGTGTCTGATGCTTATCTCCATGTCCTCATCTCTCCTGCATCCAGACAGTATCATCGCTTTTTTTTTTCATCATGGGTGTGTGTTTCAGTTTCAAGCACTTTAATTCAGACTTGCTTCGGCTCCCTGTGTATTCTCTCAAAGGGTCCAGGTTTTTGTCTTCGTTTCCATGATCATATGTATAGCTGACTGCCTCTTTCTTTCTCCCAAGATGATTTATTCCTCCATACTCAGTTTCCTCTCCAGGAACCTGTCAGAGTGGGTTTGGCTTGTCAAAGTGGAGAAGTCTTTCCTCAGACCCACACAATATTTGGTTCATCTTGGGATGATTTTCAATTCTCTCCTCCATGGAATGTCTCATATGAAGTGTCTCATCCTATCCTTCTCCTGCTATGCATGAGGTTCTATCTGTTTCGTGGTTGTGGGCTTCCCTCAAATCACTCATTCATCTTGGTCATGCCCATGTGCATCATCATCAGTGGGTTTTGATAGACCAAGAGAGCCTTGTTCAGGACCCCTTTAATGCTCCTCCCTTACAGACCAACTTCGACTGGTGGTTTGATTAGAATAATACTACTGTGGGTGTTCCTCCTTCTTGCCCAGAAGGTCACCTTTTACTGATGCTTCTCTTTCTGGTTGGGGGGCATATCTCGACATTCAGAAGGTTTTGAGGTGATGGTCTCCAGTCTTCTTTCCATATCACTCTCTTGGAACTTCTTGGTGTTCATCAGGCTTTGCTTCACTTCCTGTGGGCTCTTTGGGACCAGCTGGTGATGGTCCACTCTGACAATTCTATGGTAATCTCATACATCACCAGGCAAGGGGCACTTGGGTCGACAGACTTCAGTTTTCATACCTTGGATATTCTGTATTGGGCCCACTGCCATCACATCACTTTGTTGGCATGTCATATTCAGGTTGCCCTGAATCTGGTTCCAGATCAGTTATCCCATCCTGACAAGATTCTCCGTACAGAGTGATTTTTGGATCCTCACGTATTTTGGAAGTTGTGTGCTCAAGAGTGTGTCCCAGATTTGGATTCTTTTGAGCTTTTCTCAATACGCAACTTCTACAATTTTGGTATCCTGTTCCTCATCCTCTGGTAGGAGCAGTCAATGTTCTTAGTCAGGATTGGTCAGGTTGGTACCTATATGTATATACTCTTATTATCCCCTCTTACGTAGCCTTGCCTTACTTTTGACCACTCCATATAGTGTTCTGCTGGTGGCCAGTTCACAAGTGTTTTTCCCTGCAGCGGCAGTTCTTGGTGTCACCTCCCCTTTCTTTTCCTTTATTTCCAACACTCCTCCATCAACCCCACTTCAATGTGTGTCATATATCTGTAGCCACACTCTGTCTTCAAATGTAGCTTTTGTCCAGTCCCTCACTTGATGGGCTGGACTACTGCATGTTGCTTCTGTCATTTCCCATCCAGTTCATTCTTCTTCCATGGCAGTTTACCAATGTAAGTGGTACACATACCACTGTTGGTCTGCCCGAAGGGGTTATCAATTTTCTCATCCTACTGTTCCTCGCATACTTTTCTGCCTAGGGTTTTTGAATGAGGCCTTTCAGTTTCCTCTGGTGTGGGCTATAGGGTTTTTTGCTTGATTTTTCGCCTTTGTCTCGTGGAGTATGGAAGTCCTTGCCACTTACCAGTTCCTAGCCACTGGGGTGGTGGACTACAGAGGCTTGTCTTCCTACATGTGCACAATACCACTCAGTTGAGCGTAGTGCGGTGGCATCCTGCTGGTGTAGATGGCATGATGCCCTTCCTACCTGGTGAGGCACCCTTCTTCCTACCATTTGCTGGATGTCAGATCCTGGGGATTGGGTGTTGGTTGGAGCTGGACTAGCCACATAAGTCCTCTCATGTTTTTGGATGGTTAACCTCCTCCTACTGCAGACTGTAAAGTTCAGTAACCTCCTCCTACCGTGGACTGGATGAAAAATTCCCAATGCCATCAGGTTTTGGACTGGAGATGAACACCCACTTATGCCCTCCACCTTCCTACCATCGGCCAGATGTTGGTTCCTGGTGGATCCGGTGTTGAATGTGTTGGAGGTGGGTTATTGGTACAGAAACTTCTCTTCCCTGCCAGTACTTGATTTGAAGTTGAATGGTAGAGTACCTGATATACAATTCCAGATGCCACTAGGTGTTGGTTGAGGTTGAACTCCCACTTATGGTCTGTCATGCCCTAGCCACTATACATTGAGGAAGGATCCCATTATTTCCGTAACTTTTCTTGGGGTACCTCCTTTTTTTCTGCCCATTTGGCAACACATTACCAATGGGCGATGAGTATACCTGGCTCAGAAGTGGTGTGATCTCCCATGGGTGGGTTGTTTTTAGTTCCTTCTCACACCCTATGGTTTTACTTTGGGTACTTCCTAAAGGGGGATCATCTTCTCACTGGCCCTCCACCTATTCAGTGTGGGATTCTAGCTTTTTGTGAGAATAGGTAAAATATTGTATCAGAAGTTAACACCTTCTTAAACTGAAAATCTATTTCTGATATATACTTATCTCTTCTCCCATTCCCTACCTATTCTTTCCACTTCCAGTGTGATTTGGTTTGGTCTGACCAATCCTAAAGTGGATAACAGCTGCAAGATTAGAAAGAGCTCTAATTATGATAGGGTTGTGTTGCATTCCTATTGGTGGAAGGTTGCTGCATAATCATTTGCATGTTAGTATGCAGATATCTCACGTTAACATGCATGAGGGTAAGTGGGAGTATCAATGCTAGTAGCAAGTGAAAATTTGCATCAATAAAGGGCAGTATAAATTGAGAAAGCTTTTTGTGAGAAGATGTAAGTATCTATCAGAAATACATTTTCAGTTTAAGAAAATGTTAACTTTTATAATAGCTCTGTGGTTCATGGTAGACTGACATCCTTTCAGTCTTCATGTAAAGTTTCATCATGAATATTTTATCCTGATCTATTTTTGTTCCAAACTGCTAAGACTGTGTTATTCTGTTTATAGAAATTGTTAAAAACTTGACAAATTTGTGAAATATTCTATTATTATTATTATTGTCTAACATGAGGAGCATTTCACAAACTGAAGAGTATTATGCAAAAATTATTTGAGGTTCAGGTAATAGTAAATTACAAATTGAAAACTATCGTTATTTTGAAGTGATAAGGTAGTGAGATTGTGGTGTAACTTGAACTTTCATTAACTAAGAAACCTTTATTTGAAGGGTCTGTGTACAGAATCAGTGTTTTAAAGCTACTGTATTCAAAATTTAGTTTTTATAAATATATATATATATATATAGCTATAACAGTTTTTCCTAAGATTTTTAATTATTGAAAATACTATTTAAAATACAAACACTAATCAGAAATTTTAAATTGAATTATGCCCCAATATGCTTATCAGATTTAAACACAAGGTAAGTAGAACTTTAGATTATATTATAATAACTAATTTCCTGTAAGTTATCATTACACTGTTCTTGTTTATGTAATTATAAATCCAAAAATGTGTGAGCATAATAAAATTTATTTCCAATTTGTGGTTGACTTTTGTTTGCCCTTTGATCTAAAGGAGGCATTTATTTTAAGATTTTTTTAAATTGAAATACTATCGGCTGGTAGTTGCTTGCAAGTTAAATTCTAATCATTGAGACTACTATAAATCTGTGTAACAAGATGAATAGTGGTAAGTAAAAGTTATGTTTATTTGTAGTAAATATTAGGGGTGCGTATCTCATCATAGTAGTTGATACGATGCGTATCTAGATACTGATGACGCAATACAATACGTATCTAGATACAGAAGTTTTACCAACGGTTTGTTACAAAGTTTGACAGTCTTGTCTGTAATTTATTATCTATATTACTAACATTGTCGTATTTAAGTACTTCACGCTTTCCAAGCCTTTTTAAATTCTCAGGTTTGATCAACTAAACGGCAGCTGGCAAGAGAAGTAAAATAAAAAAAAGTTAATATCCGTCTGTCTATTTTGTTACTGTTAATTTGTTATGTTACTTTGCATGTAATGTTTTTGATAAACGAAATGAAGACAACATGTTGTACTCAATACTCATCTTCCTTTATTGAATCATTAATTTTTAGCAATTAGAAATTCTGATTTTTTCTTTACAAAAGACTTGCCAAAAAGCTTGCCAAATTTTGTGAAGATACATAAATTGTATCATATCAGACAATGTATTGGTACAGTTGTATCACCACACCTGTAGTAAATATACAGTAATGAAAGTTCAAGGTAATTTAACAAAAAAGTTAGATATTTTTATAATAACTGTGAATATTTTTTTAAAAATCTTGTTTTTCACATAGGTACAGTGGAGAAATGCATGAATTAGGATGTCAGATAGACATTTTGGCAAATCATATATGGGAAAATGTAAGTGTGCTATAATGCATAGCTATAATTGTACTGAAAAAAGTACTTAAATTGGTTATGTATTTGATAAAAATATCCCAAAATATAGATACAAAACAGAATTTGTAAAAGTGTTTAGTATACCAGTTTTGTATTGGCATTCTGTAGTTTTTGAAAGAATATGAAGTTAATGAAGGAATTCTTACTAATTGACTGTAAAATTGTAATGCCTCTTACCACACACACAAACAGCTGGGATCTTATGTTTGTGCCAATCCATGTATTATTAATATACTGATAAACGAGTTAAATTAACTAATTTTAAGTTGATATATATACTAACAAAATACCCAGTAATGCCAAGCTTAAGAAGTAATGCTATAAAGGGGGGAGTGGGATACTCATTTCCACTATTCATCCATTTGCTTACCCATTTAATCATTTGGGGATCCACCTGACTTTCTTTACCAAATTTCCTTGAAATTTGTTCAAGCCAGCTTTTTACAATAACTTGTGACACTAGACAGACAAATGGATAACTCTGATTTATATATTGTAAAACAATGTAATTATAATAAAATTAAATTTATTACTAAAGTTCATGTTTGTTTTAAGTCATAGTTGAGTATCAGTAGTAGAACGCCTTGATTACTTTTGCTGAAATTGAAATGTTCTTTATCTTTCAGGCTCTTTCTCCTGTATACAAGAGGATAACCTCTGACAATTTTTTGCAGATGCCAAACTCAACAATGTTGAATAATGTTCCTTCATCTTCAGTAAATGGCAGAAAAAAAAATCTTAATATAAGCCTACAAAAATATCTTGCTCAGTTTAGCAGGTGTGGGAAACTTGTTAAATTTATTTAGTTTTGTTAATGAGAAATGTTTTTTTGTGTGGGAGTTAATAATTCTATACCTGTGATGCCTTGATAGTGGCTTGAATCCTAATTATATTATTCTTTCATCATTAATTATTTCCTCCCTGATGTGTAATTCTTTCATTCTTTTTCAATATGCCTTAATGTAGAAACACTAATAAAATGTCTATGGAATATTCTAGTTTTCTGTATTGTAACTACAAACAATATTAATTTGAATTAGAATTGTATCTTGCCATTCAATGACGTGTCTAAATATTTCTATGTTGTAATGAATCAAGGATTGTACATCTTAGTTATCTGTAAATCATAAAAATTCATTAAGATATTCTAAATTAAGTTTGTTATTGTTGCTGGAATTTTAGTGAAGTACAAGTTTAACCTTTGTACATGTAATTTTTCTCTCCTATGCTTAAGCCTGGAATTTTGTATGTTTGGGTAATGACCCTTTTAAGTACTAATTTCATAATATATTTAAAATGAAAGATCTGTGGCTTCCATAGTTTTGTGATAAAAATTGGTAGTATAAAAGTTTATCTCCTTTATATTGTGAGTGCATTTATTTTAGTAACACACATGAAAATACCATAACACTGGACTTTAAAACATTTGCTGAAATACACATCTAGTTGCTAAATCAACCTTATAAGTGTGTGTGAAGTGTCAGTCAGGGAGATAAAGGGTTTGAAAAATTAATATTCTTTATTTTTATGTAATGGTTGTATGAAATATCTGTAGTTAACATCTTTAGTAATGAAAATCCAGTCTTTTTGAAATCTAACCTAAATTAATCATACGGTTTGTTTTTAGTGTTATATTATCTATAAATAAAAACTAACTTCTGCAGTCTTAAAGAATTCGTCTCCATAATCATTTTAAGCAGTGGAAATGTTTTAAAGATACTGGTAAAATGCATTGTTATTATCTCAGCTGAAAATTTTACATTTTGCATGTATTACACATTCCCATATAGTATTTAACATTACTTTAAAATTATACAAATAGAACAACTGTTAAAAAGAATTACAGTTTACTTAAGAACGAAAACAAAAGTAATGTTGTTGTTATCTAGAACATAGCTCAAAAAGGCTACTAAGCTTTAAGTTTTTAATTATTCTAAAAATATGCTTTTGTAACTACGTGTTTTTTCAGATAGTCTCTTTTAAATTTATTGCAGTATTTTTAGTGCATCTAAATACTTCATTAATATTTAAGTCTTACAACTTGGAAATTTAATGTTCATAATGTGATCACATGACATAATTTAAAAATTAAGGGTTAGATCAGAAAAGCGTACAAAAGTTTGTGCCTAAAAGAGTTGTTAATGTTTTGTAGAAAATGTGAAGTGCAGATGTGTAAATACTTGAAGTTTCAAACCTTAAATATATTATGTTCTTTTATTCATATAAATGATAAATTTCAGGTAAAGCTGAGCATTCAAAGGTTGTTTTTTAAAGGAATAAATGATATTTTTTCTGGAACAAGCTGTACAGTAGCATATAAATGCATCGTTTAATTTTGTTTCAACAAAGATTGATCTACATATAGCCACTGAATTTTGAAGAAAGTTTAAAATATATTGCTATATAAACACACATTACTGTTTATAGTCTTGTTTGTTATGTTGCTGTTCAGTTTTTGGGGGAAAATATTTAAAAAAATATGTATTTCTTCAAAATGTGATTTATGATTATCTGGATCAGTTACATAAACCCAAACCTACCATTTCATTTCATTGTGATATCAAAATTTTGATGTATGTTTGTTTTTGTTTATTTTCTAACTTAGCCAGCTTATTTTATAAACTATGTTTTTAATGATATTGTGTATTTGTATTTTTGCTTTATACTTGAATGTAAACTTAACCAAAAGTGACAGCTTCTTATCTGCCTTCATAGGTTATCATAAACAAGTTTAAATTTTTGTCTGAAATTTGTAATTTGGGCTGTATATCAGATGAAAGTATCTGCTTAATTACATAAACTTAACAACCTTGATCCTGAACAAAACCTAGAAAGTTCCCTGCTTGCATCCAATATATATCTAATGCAAGTATATGCTTGAGTATAGCATGTCAGCTGTTAATTAGTTTTAAAAATATTGTGTGGTGCAATGAGATTAAAGAAAAACTAATTGCTTTTGCATCTGTGACTGTAGGGGTATGCAACTTGAAAGATATGTTCTTGATGGTGGACAATTCTGACACGACATTTGTAGTTGACAAAGTACTTTTTAATTACATTCCAATTGCTTCCATTGGTATAAATACAACTCCATAATAATGATGACTTTTGATAAGAAACTTTTTTAACATGGCTGAGGGACTACCATAGCTCTTGATAAACACAGATTGCTCTTAATAGTCTTGTTTATCTTTTCATTTAAGAGTGCTTCTGTAATACTGGTTAGAGCTGGGTGATTAATGGTATTTGCTAATTGATTGGCCCAGTAAATGATTACATTCAATAAGTTAATTAGTACTGTTCCTGATAACATGTATGTGTTCCCCCATAGAAGTGAAAAATGGGGAAGAGAATCATTGCATTATTCTAACATGATATTAATCTTCCTATTTTCATTTTACCTAGTTATTTGTTTTTTTAACTACTTATGAATTACTTTTCATTTCACATGATAGACATCTTCTGAAGGTTGCCATTTGTGCATATTGAGAAAAGCATTTTTTGCCAAAAATATGTTTCGTCACAAATTTTTTTTACATTGTGATTTGGACATTTTCTACTTGATGAATAAATCATTAATTTCCACTAGAGATGCAGTAATCTCCCACTGGTCCTGTGTAAATCAAATAAATTGATAAATAAATAGTGAAAATACATTTACTATCACTGATAAGAGTAACAGTGTTTTTATTTGAAATATATCACAAATGCAATTAAAAATAATAAAGTAGCCAGTTATCCAATTTATTTATGTATATTGTTTGATAAAGATACACAAAATTAATATTTAATAAAGATTTGAGCCATCAGAATGTTTTATAGTAGTCTACCATACTCACTAAACAGTAAATTTAACAAAGTTTATCTGATTTGATTACTATTTTATTTGGTGAACATAATTAAAAGACAAATACTGCAACTCAAAAAACCCATAGTATATTGTTATTTATTAAAATTTCTAATGGTCTGACACCGAGTTAAATGATACTTTAGTAATTTAATTGTACTTTGGATTTAGCAGTTAACTAAAAGTTGATATATAGTCAGTTTGTGATATTTGCCAACAAGATTGATACACACAGTTTTCCTTTT